TTTCTGTTGATATTCCGTAGCTAGTACCAGTAGCCTTTACATTTGTAGGCCTCCCCTCGTAAAAAAATATACCCTGGCTTTCAATTAGAGTCATTAAGGGGGAACCCTTGAATTTTTGATCTACGTGAGAGGAAGATTCCGCTGCTCTGATTGGCTGGGAGTTGTGGCCCGGTGATGAGCTTCATATTGACAAGTCCATCTACGATACAAAATGTCTGATATCAAGTCAGATAGTGCACGCCTGGACTTGTTAAGTGGTGCAGCATGATGGCTGACATCATACATACAAGAAACATACATGAGGGAAGGCCAGAATAGTCAATGTATTCTATTGAAGGAGCACTAATGAAAGACATCATATACAAGTATATGGCCATTACAGATCTACGTACACATTTGCAATGTTGAGGTCTACGGGCACAATATTTTCTTTCACAAATTTATTGTTATATGTACCCCTAATGCACTTGCTATATATACAAGTACTTAAAGGGCTAAACGAGAGAGGGAGGGGAGGTTGTCTGCCTCTACTAATCTCTAACTGATTGCACGTGACATGACAACAAGCACCCAGCGCCCTCAAAGCACCCTCAAAGCACCCTTTACATGACGCTCGGTAAACCCCCTGGGTCCAGGAAAACTAAGCGTTCTGGCACTTCATCCTCCGTACATGTCCACCACCTATACACCTCCCGGTCACTTAGCGGTCGCACCAGCCTACGACAAGAGGTTCTAAACGCCACGGCCATTCACAAGAGGCAGGCCAAGGATCGCATAGACCACGCCCTTCGTCAGGATGCTATGTCCGCAGTGGAAAGAGATGAGTTGGAGGCAATCCGTACAAACACCACCAACGACAGCGGCAGTAGAAGCGTTGATGACAGCAACATTGAGCATGATGCCTGGGAAATGGATGTCGACGCGATTCTTGCGGGAGCGGAAACAATAGACATTAGCCATGCAGGGGGGGAATTCACCGCACTTGTGGATATTGCAGATGAATTACTGGGCCCACCAAATAGGTAAAACCACCATTTCTGTACTATCATACACATTCTGAGTCCATGCTAGACGACCCCGCACTCGTGACTACCGTACACGTAGGGATCGAACACAACGACGCGTCGACGCATTTAATATCCAGCTCCCAGCACTGATAGAGGCTTACATGGGGTGGATGCTTCAACTTGGAGAGGATGGGTATTCAGGAGAGTATGTATTGCCTCCCAATGCTGAAGTCCAGGCAACAACAACCATCTGTGAAGTCGACGTGTACCGTGAGTTTCGCCACTCTCTCTTTTTATTTTACTCACCCTTCCCCTGATCTCAGGCCTCCGACACGTCCAAGTTTATCACCTATCAACAGATGTGTACGTGTGTGCCGC